ATGCAATTAAAAGAGAAAAATTCTAAAATTGTAAAAAGTAAAACCACAGTTGTTTTGTAGGTCAAAGTAGTAATTTATTTATAAAGGAAGTGAAATTTTTCCGAATCGGCCTAGCATAAATTTTGCTTGCTTTTAATGCGAAGGTAAATGGGTGATTAACAAAATCAACAATATAAAAATAAGTAATATTTAAAACCATTGCATAGTAGGTATAATTGAGTGAAGTAAATAACTATCGTTTAATGTCATATAACTTTTAATTGTGTAAAATATTTAGTGTCAGTCATTAATGACGTTGACAAGTTGCCAGTAAAAATAATTGATGATTTATTAAATTATTGCCACTCAGTTTGGATCTCATCGATTGTAGGACCTACAATGTAGGTACAGTGTGGATAAAGATATTTGATCTTTCCAATTTCTTTCGCGTAAAAATATAATCAATTAGGCAATTAAAAAGATGTCGTACGTTTACGACTTTACTTAATACGAAATTATCTAATTTAAAGCTAATTTGCGATTTAAGCAATTTTAAATTTGTTTTTTAACAAACTTCCTGTACCAAAAATAACACGATGATGTAAGAAGACGAGATAAAGTTCATATTGTGATATTGAAACAGAAAAATTATAGCGAATTCGTTATAAGCAATATATAATGTATTATTTGAAAAACAACATTCCAGAATACGAGGTGTGTTCAGAAAATAACGGGAATTGTTAAATTTCGCGGGTTCGGAGGGTCCGGTGGTCATAAAATTTTCTTTATTATGTTGGTATACATGCCCCCGAAGTATGATAAAAACTTTAGCTGTGTTCATTGTTTACTTTGTCTCTGGCAGCCGCTAAGGTTAGACGTGTTTTATGAGCTCGGCGATTTTCGTTCGTTAAAAGAAATGGATGAAAGAATTTGTATCCAATTTTGCTTAAAAATGAAATAAATTCTGTGAAATGTTAACAAAGGCCTATAGTGAATCTGCTATAAGTAAAACAAGAGTCTACAAGTGGTATAAGAGTTTCCAAGATGGCCGTGAAGACGTTGAAGATGACGAACGCCCCGAACGCACAAGCACATTAACAACCGATAAAAACATGGAAAAAGTGGAAGAAATGGTTATAAACCATCAGAGAAGTCGCTGATGATGTTGGTATATCGATTGGCTCATCCCATGTAATTTTTTCGAATGTTTTGGGTATGAAAGCGTGGCAGCAAAATTTGTTCTAAAATTGTTAAATTTTGAACAAAATATTTTGCTAAAAACAATACTGTAATGATGCCCCAGCCTCCATATTCGCCAGACATGCCTCTGCCTGACTTTTTCCTATTACCAAAAATAAAGAGAACCTTAATTAAAGGGCCGTCGTTTTGCAAGCATAGATGACATTAAAAGCGCATCGCTGAAAGAACTAAAGGCTATCCCAAAGATCGAGTTTTAGAAGTGTTTCGAGTATTGGAAGAAGAGCTGGCACATGTGCATAATATCCAATGGGGACTATTTTGAAGGCGACAACATTAATGTAGACGAATAAATAAATATTTGTTTCAAAAAACGAAAATTCCCGATATTTTCTGAACACACCTCGTATGGCACTTTTCATTCTATAGAAAGAAATGCCGTGCTCTGATTGGTTTATTACTTTGTAGACAATATTTTCCATATTGTAGGAGTTTGGTGCGTCCTCCCGATTCATCCTGTATAAAATGTCATGATGATTTTAAACCCTTTGTGGACTCTATTAACGTGGCTTCCCGCTGGTTTTGTTTTTCAAGTGGCGACTGATTGAGCTTTTGTACGGCAAAAAATAACGGCTTTGGCAACAAAAATGCAAAAATACGAATTTGTAATTGAAAGGACGATATAAATTAAATAAATTTTATTAAAAGTTGTTTTGATTAAGTTTTTTAATTAAATTATCTGCATAAAGTGAAAACTATTTAGTAAACAGATTTTTTTTAGTTTTGCTTGTGCGAACATTCTTTTAAAGCGTTAAGTTCGTATAAAATATTCATTCAATAAAACATTTCGAAATGAAAATTAATGCCCAAAGGACAACATTTAAACTACTCACACGCTTATTTAAGTTTTGACGTATAAGCTAGAAGTTTCGCACAACGCTGCTGTTTTGTTTATTATAGACTGTGAAAATATTTCTAAATATTTAATCATGCCTAGACACGTCTGAACCTGGCGAAACAGTAAATTATAAATAAGAAGCGAACATGAAATAAAAAAAAGCTCACTACCCAAAAGGGAGACGAACTTTTATTTTATTGGAGAAACCTAAAAACGTTCCCCTATTTATTACTTTTTCGCTCGGTTCATTAAAAATTTAAAACAACTTCCCCTGCAAACTCATCCAAAGCCCTAAAACCATATGTGCGGTTTATTTTTGTAAAAGTACGAACTTTTTTTTATATGACAAAACGCAAAAATTTTCGAAAGAAAACTACTTTTACTTTTTAATAATTAATTTTAGTGCATTAAACACCATCTAAAATAAAAACAAGGCAGTCTTTGTTCCCAAACAAACAAGATTAACATGTTTGCATTGAAAAAATTAGTCATCTTTATCTTGGTAATATTAGTAATTTAAAAATGTAAATATGTATATATATAGGTAAATCATGTGTAGTGGAAAAAAATATTTAAAGATATTTAATAATTAATTATAAAATTTGTTTTTTTAACGTTAAACCTCCTATATAGAAAAAACAATAATGTTGCATCAAATATTTCTTAACATTTTGAAAAAGGAAGGAAGAGTACATTATAGTTAGACTTATCAGAAATTTATATTTCCTGACGCAAGGGTAGAGCGAGCATTTAGGTTGATTTTTTGCTGCAGATAAATTCACTTGTTAAATCTTTCTGTAACACATGTTATTGTTGTGAAACCGAATAGTAGTAAAATAAAACTTCTTATTCATAATTAAATACTACCTATGTGTAATTATTTATACCACGTAGCTTTCGCAATAAAAAATAATTGCCAACAAGCCCACATTATTTTAATACCGCCTAATAATAGTAATAACACCAAAAAAACACCCTGTGAGTTATTTTTTTTACTAAATCACTCGCATTTATTAAATAAAATCTTTTAATAAAGCGACAATCCAGCGGAATTAATATCTCAATGGGCTGCGTATGGCCTGATATGATATAAGAATAATTCAATGACAAAGGACTGAAACTTCCTGTCCAAGCTGTATGGTCAAACCGATATAAAACATAAAGAGGATGGTTCAGAGGTCGATATATAAAGAACAAAAAATTACTGATTATTAAGTGTGAGCGTCGCCACAAAAGCTCAACAAAAATTAATATTTTTAGACAGCTGTATTTTTAGATGATTTAGTTTATTGAAATAATACATTTTTATAAAAGGCGAGGGTAAATATTTTTGGGGGTCAAATTTTATCATCAAAAATACAAAAAAAAATTAGATACCTATGTTTATTGCTCCCAAAAATAATTACCCTGTATAGGTCTATTGTGTGTGAAATAGGCAATCCCAACACTATCATATTATAACAGGGTAATTGATAGAACAATTCAGTGAAACCCCGCTAATGCAGTATATATGTTTTGGCTATGGTGTATGGTTTATAGATATTAATGTTATATGCTGCTTAAGTTTTTATGGCAGCGCACAAATATCAAATTTTAATTATTTTGGGCACCACACCTTTTTGCTAGCTAAATTTTATGCAATTGACTTTTTATAAGTACCTATGTATGTAACAAACAGCGGTAAAAACACTTTATTAATTGGTATATGTGAAAGTCGATTATTTTAGATTGTTACAAGGACAATTTTTTGTGAATAATTGACAAACAATAATTGTGCGTTTTATTAAAGTAAGTAGATATGTTGGAAATTAAATAAAAGGAAAGGAACGGTCTGGCTAGCGGCCAAATATAGATTCAATTCCCATCTACATATTTTAAAACTGCATTGTTAGAAGTTTTCGGATGGACAAAAAAAAATGTGAAAAATTGTGATGGTCGGGCAAACAATGATTACTGCGAATTTAAACTTTTATTTCAAAATTTTTTCGAAGACTTCGTATTTTGTTTTACTAAAGTAAATAAAGATTTGTCTCTTTGCCAGCAAACCTTTTAATGAAAAAAGAAAATACGTCTTTAATACACATAATTGACGTTATTTTGATTGGTGACTCAAATTTAAATGTGACCTGCTTTCTTATCGGAATAAATACCTACGGAATATTTGGAAAATAAGCTAAACAAATAAAAAGAGAAAATGTAATAAAATAACACCAGTGCCAAATATTATTTACGGTGTTATTGATAAAAAAAAGTCAAATTAACACACAGCCATGGCTCTAAACTTTTGAAATAACAACTGGCCGCCGCAACAAACGAATTTAAACCCAAAATACGTGATTTTGCCGCAATTTTTTACGGCATTTGCTGAGGTCATCATCGGTTGTTATTTTAAAAGTTTAGCGCTTCGTGATTATGCGCGGATTTGGAAAATTGTTTAACACTTTGAGTGCCACGAGAATCCGTTTTGGAGTTTGGCGAAAAGAGATGCTGTGCTGCTAGACCCTGGGTTTTCGAGCCGGAGCCAAAGAAGTGAGAAGCACGAAAGTCACGGTTTTGTATCATGGAATGCAGGCTGGTTCAGCGACTTGTGCTGTGTGTGTGTGTGTGTATATGTTTTTATGTGTGTGTGTGTGTGTTGGTGTGTACGGAGAGTATGGTTCCAATGACACAAGGCTGGTCTAGTGGTCTAGCTTATGGGCACAACTGTTTGCTTCCTACATAAAAATATAATACAGAGGCTGTTTTACCTAGAAGATTGTCTTCGATAGTACGTTTAGCACCATTACGAGCACAATACACTAATTTACAAAAACACTCACAGAGACCGGCAAAATAATAAACAACAAATTGCTTAATATCGAGAGAGTCAGCACGGTAAATAGCGTCTAATACATATAAACACACCAATACAATATGAGCAACTTACAGAAATACAACACTCTCTGTTCAATGTTTTAGGTTAGAATTTGACAAGTACACTTGCTGGGCCACTAATTCGATGTTTTCCAAATTCAAGTATCGGCTGATTCTGCAAACGCACTGTGCCGCTTCTCCAACGCACTTTATTTATTTACTATTTGCTTCAATATTACTAACATTACTTTATTTACTAAATTTAGTTACTCTCAGCCCGACCCGTTTACAAACACTAACTGAAAGCTCCTTACGATATGCATTCGAGCTTACCCCACCCTGGCGACGCGCATGCGCACCTTGCCGCCTCTTCTCAACTATCCGTTCAAAATATTTTAAAAGTAAACACTACGACCTATACCATATTTACATTCCATAGCACAATATATTCTCACACTATACCATCTTCGATACAACATATACAATATTTATAACATATAATATACAATCGATAAATTTTACCGCAACAGAGTCAAAATTTCCTCTTCCATCATTAAAACACGCGTTTTTTTAATTTTAAAACGAAAAAACGTTATGGTATAGTTGATTTTAAGTGTATTCCCATAAGACATTTTTTTCAATTCATGTTCCAAGGTTTATTCTTGGACCATTTATCTCTACACAGATGACCATTTGCCTTGCCATTTATTTCTAGGTTCTAAAGTTTTAGTGTCGTTTTTTCGTGAAAAAAAATTGAGGGTATCGAACTGGGAGTGGTCAGAAAGTGTTTCATTATAAAAACCACGTGGAAATTATATTTGATATTATGGGCCGTACATAAAAATTATCAAAACTGTTTAGTGACAAAATGTAAAGACCCCCCCGAAGGGTCAGGTGACGAATTATCGAACCCCCCTAAAAATATTTTTTTTGATTCTTTTTTGTAACTAACTTTGACACATGGCTTTTTTTAAAAAGAGATTTATGGGCGCTATATTTTCTCTTTTTATTCAGCTTTTTAAGCTACTTTTTATAAACCTAGAACTAAAAATAACAACAAATGTTCTATGAAGTTGTTTAAAAAAAGAAAATAAATAATTTTAACATCAAACCTAACATCTGATACTCCTCCCAATTCGTATACACTTTTTAGGCATGTTTACCAACAAAACAACAAAAATGGCGCGAATACAACTCGTTAATTTTTGAACACGCCTCGTATGTACCCACTCTTAAATGTAATCTCACACTTTTGTGGCAAAATAATCACCACATAAACAATGACTTTAACCACAGTGTGTGGATTGTGACTAACTGAATAATGTTTCATAATATTGAATGCGCAGCATTGTGCGATCGATATAAGGTACCAACTAAAAAAGATAAATTTTTGTTTTAGATAAGTCAATAGTTAATTGTTGCCGAATCGGAACAGAATCGGAAGCGGATGCGGAAGCGGAAGTAGAAGCGGATGCGGAAGCGGATACGGATGCGGAAGTGGGTGCGGAAGCAGATGCATGTTTTACACATTTTAAATAAAAATTTGATATTTTGAAAGGTGTTTTTAAAACCCTAAAATGTGTTATAGACAACTTGAATGTTATTTAAAATTGTGTTTTTGAGTAACCAAAAAGTAAGGTATACAATTTTTCAAATAAATTGTTTATACTGAAATATGTACTGAATTGATAAATTAGCATAAAGATATTAAAATTTCCATTTTAATAGATCAATTTGATATAAAAAGTCCTTTATCATTTTGTAATCTTTTAATTGCATACAACATAGGCAAAATAATTGGCAAAATGACAGGTTGGCTAATTTATTAGTTTAAACAAATAAAGGGTTGATAATGTTTGGTTTTTATCGAAAATAAAATTTGCATTAAACTAATTAAATTGCATGTTTGTTTTGAACATTTCATTTTAGATGGATGAAAAATCCTGCTTTATTTAAACACGCAGTAAATATAATTCAAAGAGATATTTTTTATCTCAGAGTTTTTGTTAATGTTTGTTTCAGCATATTTTAACAATTTCAACGCATGATTTATGCTTTGCACTTTTTATTCATCTGTTGAATGTCAAAAGTTAATTTCATCGGGCCGAAAAAATTTCATTTCATCCCATATTGATTACAAAAATCAAAAGAGGCAAATAAAAACAAAACATATTGTTTGTACAGTGGAAGTCATAGGTGTTGCGCTTCTGTACAAGTACAGGCACAAGTTAAATTCGCGTAGATACAGATGCCCAGGTGCAGCAGGCTTAATAGTTATAATTAATTAATTAATTAACTTTATATTGCCTAACAATACCTCACATAAATCAATCATGTTTTGTTAAATTGGCCTCTTAAAACTATCGATTTCGATCTAATTAATTTAAAAATTTCGTATTTATTTTAAATTAATTTGATTCTGCGCTTTATAGGAGCGAGCGCCAGAAAATTCTGTAGACAAAATCCCCGAACATATTGATTTGTAATAGCGCCATCTTTAACCGGGTTTCGACAATTCGAATTCCATTCACGCCTGGATTAAATATTGCCATATTTACTTGTTATACAACACTTGTAATTCCGAATACATTTCACGGAAAAGGTACATTTTCTCATGTGATAAATACAGCGCCGTTTTTAAAACTACTCATTTTTTTGTTCAAAGTTTTTAAAGTTCGCGTATTTGATTCTGCATTCAGATCGTTTCGTTCGGTTTATTTCCCCAGTGACACACTTTGTAATTGCTAAATTTAAATTCAGAAATTTAACTCTTACTTTTTTATTTTATTTTATTGGAATACCTTCTCTAATCAGATTGAGGGTGTTTCTTGAATTTGCGACTACCTTCTATAGAAAATGAAAGCAATAAACCAATCAGAGCACGAGGTTCTCCATCGCACCTAGTGTGCTGTGGAGAATGCCGTACTCTGATTGGTTTATAGCTTTCTATAGAGACCCATTTCTATAGAAAGTACCTATATCAAGAAACATTTTTTACTTGCGAAACAAATCTACTGTGAGTGACAAAAGTGCTGCAATTCAATACACACTCGCCGACTAAAGTAATCCATATAAATTATATTATATAACTTTTAGTGTTATTTTCAGGCGGCAACATTGAAATTTACGAGCGAAGCCGCCATGAAATATTCAGGTTAAGTTTGCGGCGTTTTTTAATGCAAGCTTTTAAACTCACTGCTTATACATTTTACAAGTTATTTTAATACCTTGGCGCAGTAATTTAAAAAAGTTTTTATGAGATTTTTTGTGCTCGCGCGGCAGTTTGGCAACGTTGTAGGCTGTAGGATCTCACGTGTGTTCATTCCAAACGCGGCTTGTTTTGAATGAACCATATAAACTAACCTCTACCAGAATTTATCTATAATTGCTATTAAATAAAATAAACACGTTGACTTCTTTGACATCCGTTATCTCAGTGTACTCGAAAAATTCACGCGTAGTCTAATGAAATTACTTAGGAGTAGACAGTTAAAGAAAAGTGAGTTCTCCTAAAATAGCATCATGGGCGGAAAGTACTCCAAATTGGACCCCATGGATATTGTGGTTCCTGATATTAAAAACCTACTAGACAGAGACTCCTATTTAAAACCTTACGAAAAAGAAATCAGACGTCGGTATGTAATTTTACGTTGTTTTCAGCTTGACATTGTGAAGGTCACCAGAGGACAATTAAAAACAAATGAAAGGAACCGCGCGGAATTATGATTTTATGAATGAAGATGCTCGATTTCACCTATTTAATTTAGTGCATTGATGAAAAAATACTAGTTTTTAACAGATTTATTCAAATTTTTGTTTTTAAAACCAACTCAAAAATAAAATTGATATAATAATGCACATATTGAAACATTTTTGAATACAAATTTTAATTAAATTTAAAAAAAATAGTTATTTTTATGTAGGTAATATCGAATTAAATCGTGGACATAATTTGTATTAATTATATGATTTTTTTAATAAACAAAATGGCATCCGGGCGCCGTTTTATTTAACACACTTTAGTAAAATATATATTTTAGTTATGGATGTCTCAAAGACCAAATTGATATGATAGAAGAAAATGGAGGTGGACTGGACAATTTTACTAAAGCTTACAAATACTATGGAATGAATGTTCAACCAGATAACTCCATAATCTGCAGAGAATGGGCCCCTGGCGCCAAACAAATCTACCTAACCGGAGATTTCAGTATGTTAAAAAACAAAAAAAATTACTGTATTAAAAACAAATTTTAGATGGTTGGAATCGTGAAAGTCACCCCTACAAAAAGTTGGATTATGGAAAATGGGAGTTAATTTTACCCCCAAAACCTGATGGTTCCTGCATGGTTCCGCATTTATCGGAAGTCAAGGTCGTGATTGAAAACCACCATGGTCACAAATTGGATAAACTATCGCCATATGCCACATATGTGGTAGAACCACCAAAAGACCAAGGAACCATATACAAACAAAAAATGTGGAACCCTCCTCAATCAGAGGTAAGTCTCAAAACAACTTCCAAACACAATACAATAAAAAAATATTTTTTTAGAGGTACTTGTTCAAACATCCAAAAACGCCAAGGCCAAAAAGCCTTCGTATATACGAGTGCCACGTGGGTATTGCAACATCCGAGTTAAAAGTTGGTGATTATGACAACTTCACTGACAATATCCTGCCCAGAATAGTCAAACAAGGCTACAACGCAATCCAACTGATGGCAATCATGGAGCATGCGTACTACGCCAGTTTCGGTTATCAAGTAACCAGCTTCTACGCTGCATCCAGTCGCTATGGCAACCCAGAACAGCTTAAACGACTTGTCGATAGGGCTCACGAATTGGGTTTGGTGGTCTTATTGGATTTGGTGCACTCGCACGCCAGTAAGAATGTTATGGACGGTCTCAATGAGTTCGACGGTACCGATTCTGGATTTTTCCATGCTGGCTCCAGGGGTGTGCACTCTCTATGGGATTCTAGGTTGTTCAACTACCAGGAGTACGAGGTTTTGAGGTTTTTGCTCTCCAACATCCGTTGGTATTTGGAGGAGTACCAATTTGATGGGTTCAGATTCGACGGGGTTACTTCAATGCTTTATCACTCGAGAGGTATTGGACAAGGTTTCAGCGGGTCTTATGATGATTATTACAACATGAATGTGGACACTGATGGTGTTGTGTATTTAATGTTGGCCAACCACGTTATTCACACTCTGCACAAAGACGCCATCACCATTGCTGAAGATGTGTCTGGTATGCCAGGCACATGCAGACCACTACAAGAGGGCGGAATAGGCTTTGATTACCGCCTCGCCATGGCCATACCGGACAAGTGGATCGAGTTGTTGAAGCACAAATCCGATGAAAATTGGGATATCGGCAACATTGTGCATACTCTATCGAATAGGCGTTGGATGGAGCCCAACGTAGCCTATGCTGAATCTCACGATCAGGCTTTGGTGGGCGATAAAACAATCGCTTTCTGGCTCATGGATAAGGAAATGTACACCCACATGAGCACGATGTCACCACCATCCGCCATCGTGGATCGTGGTATCTCCCTACACAAACTAATCAGATTCATTACCCATGGTCTAGGTGGTGAAGCATATCTGAACTTCATTGGCAACGAATTTGGCCATCCCGAATGGTTAGATTTTCCCAGAGAAGGCAACCAAAGTTCCTATCATTACGCCAGAAGGCAATGGAATCTAGTCGATGATGACTTACTCAAGTACAAATATTTAAACAACTGGGATGCCGCCATGAACCATGCAGAACAAAAATATGGCTGGTTACATTCAGCACCCGGTTATGTAAGCTGGAAACATGAGTCTGACAAAGTTATTGCATTTGAACGAGGCAACTGCCTATTTGTTTTCAACTTCCACCCCACACAAAGTTTCCCTGATTACACCTTGGGCATTGAATTTGGAGGCGAGTTTAGAATTGTTCTGTGCTCAGATGATGAACAGTTTGGAGGGCATAAAAGAGTTGACACCTCAATTCCAATATTCACCAAACCTGAAGAATATGCCTGCAGAAGGAATCGCTTACAGGTTTATATACCTTCAAGGACTGCATTGCTTTTAGCCAAAGTTTAAGAATGTTAATTTGCATTCTTATTTATCAAGATAAAAAGTAGATAGATTTTTACTACTGTAAATAATAATCAAAATATATTTTTGTTAAAGTTCGAGATTAATGTTTTGTTAATTTATAAAAAATAAAAGTTTAAAAGTAAAAAAATATGTTTTCTTACCGTTTTCTTGATGTTACAACCCATTTCAACGAAACAGAAACAAACAAAACCTTTTTGATATTTTAAAACAAGTGAATTTCGCCGGCAACTCACGTGAAAAACCCAATGCTGCCAACAGTATATTGATATATCATCAAAATTTTCCACATACTACAATCCAACAATCTAAAATACCTATATTGTTTGTGTTCTTAACATATTTCACCCTAATATTGAATTAGGAAGCTGAGGAAAAAAACTCAACAATAAAAATTATCCCAAAAACGGAGAATTCCCCGCCCATTGGCAACACTGGTTCTAAAAGAGCTGTTCGCTGTTACGATGTTGCCAATTATACAAAGATAAGCAAAAGTTTTTTATGTGCGTCAAAAATATTAATAAATAGGTCGTTATGTTGTTTTAACCCTTTAGGACCTTTTGGTCACATTTGTGTACGCTCCGTTTGATGTTTTTTTTTTAATACATTTTTACTGAAAAGACATCCTATGACCCGTTGTACACGTTTGTGTACAATATTTTTAAATTTTTGTGGAGCCATCTATACTATATCTATCAAAGCTGGTAGAGAAATCATTCATTTAAATTCAAATTCCAAGATGGAAGGCCAACTGCCGAGTAAGGGATACAATTTTGTAATTATTATATGGAAATTAAAATCGAATAAATCTCCGTTTTTTTTTGCAATGAAATAATACCTTTGTTTACCATTTGAATATACTTGCAATGTGTGTCAATGCATGTAACTCGTAAAAAAACCCAAAAACCGGGTGTACCCATATGAGCACATCAGGTCTGAAGGGTTTTTAATCCATGTTCACATTTGTGCACAACAGGTCTCAACGGAAAAAAAAATAGACATTTTAAATATTTTTATCATCTCAACGAAACCCTTATTTGACTCCTTAAAAGCCCAATGGTCACATATGTGTACAATTTTGAATTTTGAATTTTTTTTTCGAAAAATTTAAAAAATTTCATATAAGCTGTTTTTATCACTTATTAAGACATGAAAATAACGGAAAATAATATCAAATATTTTTTTTGACCAAAAAGAAAAAGTCAGGTCCTAAAGGGTTAAACACTTATTTTGCAACATTTTGATAAATTCTCCGCCAAATTAAATTCTCCACCCATTGGCAATCAAACTGGCCTGTTTAGTTCCGTTAGGTTGGCAACGGCGTTCTTAACCTATTTGAAATGACATTTGGACGTGTCATATGTGAATACAATAATAAGATCGAAGTGAAATTTGTTGATTTTTAATATTTTTAAATTAAATTTTATATTTTTACTATGCTAGGATCAACGACACACAACATGTCCAACAATGGGTCGTATTCAAATGATAGGGGGGGCGGAATAGAGCCTGAATATGCAGCAGACCCCGCTTCAGGGGGCTTCTTTCACGCAGATTTCAAAAAGTAAGTCATTTGTTTTTGCTCACATAATTGTCATAATTGTCAAAATGTCCCTTAGGCACGATGATCTTAAGGAAATGCTGGATTCAAATAAAGATAGTCTCAAATTGGAAGCTATGAAAAGAATTATTGGGGTAAATATTAGACTAATTACGAAAAAACATGTTTAAAACATGATTTTAGATGGTTGCCAAGGGTAGAGATGCCTCAATGTTGTTCCCAGCTGTTGTTAAGAATGTTGTTTCCAAAAACATTGAAGTAAAAAAGCTTGTTTATGTTTATTTGGAGAGATATGCTGAAGAACAACAAGATCTAGCTTTATTATCCATATCAACCTTTCAGAGGGCCTTAAAGGTATGTTCTAAGTAAAATAATTGCTCATTAGTGTGCAGTATAAAGGACATAAGATAAGTATGTAAATATATGTTCTTTCTTCTTGTTTATTGCAATTATTATTATTATTATTAAAACATTATTTACTTTAAATGTTATTCTAGGAACCCAATCAATTAATAAGAGCTGGAGCTTTAAGAGTTTTATCCAGTGTAAGGGTAAAAATGATCTCCCCCATTGTAATGTTGGCAATCAGAGATGCCTCATCTGACATGTCTCCATACGTTCGAAAAACAGCTGCACATGCCATTCCAAAATTATACAGCTTAGATAGTGAATTGAAATCGGAACTGGTGACAATCATTCAAAAACTATTAGCCGATAAGACAGTGCTTGTGATAGGATCGGCTGTAATGGCTTTCACAGAAGTGTGTCCTGAGAGGGTTGAATTAATTCACCAGGTCTATAGGAAACTTTGTGCCTTGTTAGTCGATGTAGATGAGTGGGGACAAGTAACTATTGTCAATATGCTCACCAGATACGCAAGAAGTCAATTTGCTGACCCCAACCTTAATGTAAGAATTTTGTGTAAAAATAAAATATATTCGAAAAACGGTAATTTTATTTAATACGCAAGGTTTCTCTGATGGAAATCTTGTGTATGAAATAAAATGGTGGTCTACCAATCTAAGATGAATAATTGCAGGCCACAGATAATCCAGACGCCCCGTTTTATGACTCGGGGTCCGATGAATCAGAAAAGGCAGTTCCTGTAACCTTGGACCCTGATCATAGACTTTTGCTGAGGTCCACGCGCCCTCTACTGCAATCCAGAAACGCCGCAGTTGTGATGGCTGTGGCCCAGTTGTACCACCACGCTTCGCCTAAGAGCGAGAGCCCTCTGGCGGCAAAAGCGCTAATTAGACTTCTGAGATCCCACGTGGAGGTCCAAAGTGTCGTTTTAAACTCCATAGCTTCGATCAGCTCTAAGAATAAAGCTATGTTTGATCCTTACTTGAAGAGTTTTTTCGTCAGAACTTCAGATCCGCTGAACATTAAATTATTAAAGTTGGAGATTTTGACTAATTTGACCAGTGATTCCAATGTATCCATTATATTGCGGGAATTACAGACGTATATTTCCAACAGCGATAAAAATTTTGTGGCCGCTACGATTCAAGCTATAGGAAGGTGTGCTTGTTCCATTTCAGAAGTAACCGACTCGTGCCTTAATGGTTTAGTTTCCCTATTGTCCAACAGAGATGGTATAGCATTCAAAATATTACCTAATGTTGTATAATATTTTTTTTTTATTGTTTATTGCAGAAGCTGTAGTAGCGGAAAGTGTAGTGGTTATCAAAAGACTTCTTCAAACCCAAGCCGCCGATCCAAAAGAAATCATAACCCACATGGCAAGACTTTTAGATAGTATTACTGTAGCCCAGGCGCGTGCCGCCATCTTGTGGCTGCTTGGCGAACATTCGAAAACAGTTCCTAGGATCGCCCCCGATGTGCTCAGAAAATTGGCCAAAACGTTCTCAGAAGAGGTAAGCACACAATTTTGACATCTATTAAATATTTTTTTAATTTAAAATGTTTACATTTATAAATTTAAAATATTTGTGTTGAACAGTTCAATTCTTTATTAATCAATTTTATTTCCAATCAATTTTTGCAAAAATTTCTAACTATAATTTGTTAATAAAATTAATTTCTTAAGTATAATTTATTTGGGCAGAATTTTGTAAATCTTAAATAAATATTTTATAAAATTATTGGTAAAGTTAAATTTTTAGTTTTTAAAAATAGTGTCAAGACATTTAAAATAAAAACACATATAAAACTATTTCTACCATAATAGTTTAAAAAGTTAAATTTTTTTAAACCCAAAACAATTGATAATCAAAATTAGTATATTATGTATCAAGTTTTATAAACGCCATTTTAGTTACGAGTTTTATTAGGCACGAGCGAAGCTTTCGAGAAGTTTATTAAACGAGTTGCATACTATACTTTATCTACGACGAACACAAAAAGCAAATTTTATTTGACATCTGTCAATTTTTAACGAATTTAACCTCACTTTTTCCTAATTAATTATAAAGCTAAATTCAGCCCGTGACTAAAATGTCCGAAAGCCACTATTGCCAACTTCAGCCCGTGACTAAAACGCTATAAAGTCACAGCTCGTCAATGTAGGAGTAGATAATGGTATATTATGTATATGTAAGTTTTATAAACGCTATTTTAGTTACGAGTTTTATTAGGCACGAGTGAAGCTTGCGAGCGAGTGTTTAATAAAAACGAGTGTCTAAAGAAGTTTATATTGGTTTTTAAAAATTTTAGTTTTAATATTTTAATCTACAAAATTACTGGTTTAAATTTGTAAAGAGTCATTTAAATGATAGTAGATACATTTTAAATTCAAAAATTCTTACATTACATTCAAATGTTAGTTTTAAGTTTTAAAGTGGTAATTTTTGTTTTAAAAATCATTTAAATGGCTCTTGAGAATTTTAAACCAATTACTTTTATTTTTAACAAATTCACATTACATTTAAATGTAAAGCCTGATTTATAGATTGCCTTCCTTCCTTCCTCCAGTAAAAGATGAACAATACACAAATAACGTAGTGCCATTTATATATTCCCGTACGGGAATCTATAAACAGCACAACGGTTTTTGTATTCTTCATCTTTTACGTGAGGAAGGGAGGAAGGCAATCTATAAATCAGGCGTAAGTCGATAATTTTTAATTCGCAAAGTGTAAACGCTGCTTTAGCTGACTGCATATGCTGCAGACTTCACCGACTATGTGAACTATGCCTTAAATTGACCACTCTTAAAATAGTGGGCCATCTGCTAAAGCTACGTTTACACTTTGTAAATTAAAAATTATCGACTTTCATTTAAATGTAAATGGATTTTGTGTTAAAAATGTATTAATTTAAAATTGTTAAAAATAAAAAGTTTAGTTGATAAATTTTTAATTCAAAAATTATCACTTTAAAATTTAAAATATGTTTTGACCATCAATTGTTTTAAGGTTAAATACATTTAACTTTAGTAATTTCTGTTAAAAAATCATTAAAGTGCTAAACTTTAATCATCATAGGCTTCTTTTTATTTTGTTTGACGTTATATTAAACTTTTAAATAGTCCAAATATTTGTTTTTTAGCATGACATAGTAAAATTGCAAGTGATGAATTTGGCAGTCAAGTTGTACATAACTAATCCCGAACAGACTGAGCTGCTGTGTCAGTATATACTAAATTTAGCCCGGTACGATCAAAATTACGATATAAGGGACAAGGCCCGCTTATTAAAGCAGTTTATCCCCGGTGAAAATGGCTATTTGGCCTCGCAGGGCGCCAACATATTTTTGGCACCCAAGCCTGCTCCCTTACTGCAGTCACAACTAAATGGTAAGGATTTTCGAGTCCACGCTTTTCTTTTGACCTATTTCCATTTAGATCAAGAAGATCTTCAGCTAGGTTCGCTGTCTCATTACATTAAGCAGAGGGCGTTCGGTTACGAGCCTTTGCCTCCTTTTCCGGAGCAGCCGCCGCAAGGTGACGTCAGAAACGTCGAGCCAATCGTCGAGGAGGAAACCAAGCAGAAAAAATCGGCGTCAGGTAAAAGTGCATCGCAAAGCGACTATACGCGTAACGGTATGTTTTGGGAATCAGAAAACAGTTCGGGTGGCGAGCAAAGCAGCACTTCCGGCACTTCGGAGTCCAGCAGCAGCGAGGAGTCCAGCGAGGATGAGGACGAGGAAGAATCGTCGTCATCAGAGGATGAGTACTATGTCAAAACAATAAAAATCGTATATCTAATGTGTATTTCTCTTAGGAAATCTTCTTCTTCAAGCGAATCCTCATCGAGCAGCAACGATGACTCGGACGGTAGCGAAAACGAGGCGGCGGAAAACTCTAAAAAAATCAATCGAACCGCCCCGCGAAAACCGGAAAAATCCAACTTAGATCTGCTGCTCGATCTTGCAAGCGACGACGGCGTGACGTCGGCGCCGGTGATGACGCCATCTATGGGCGGATTTCTCACGCCGTCCACGCCCAACGAGCAAACTTCCTCGATGCACGTCACGCAGCCCTCCTTCGTCAACACCAAGCCGCTAGAGCTGCTGAACAGGCTTAACGGCAGAGGCTTATCCGCCACCTACAGGTTCACCAGGTGCCCGCATTTATATTCGCCCAGCATGACGAATGTCAACATCGTTTTCACGAACACCACCGCTGAAGATGTCACGGATATAAGGCTCGGCAAGAAAAATCTGGCCTCCGGAATGGCTCTGCACGAGTTCGCGTGCATTTCGAAGTTGCCGCCGAATTGCACGCTCCCTGCCACCTTGGGCGTGGATTTCAATGACACAACTCAGCCCGCCAATTTCGAAATTACGTCTTCCTTAGGTAAGCAAAACACAAAGCTGCACACTTACAACACAATGAATACATTACTTATTTAAATATAAAACGTTTTTAAACTAATTTCCAGTCATTAAAAGTATCAAAACATTGAATAACCATCAAAGTTTAAAATTTTTCCTTTAAATTTAGCGCGCACCCCTTCCAACTTCAATTCTAAACGCTTAAATCATTGCCCGACCGCATAATAGGGAAATAGTAATCCCAGAAATTTGCGCTTCATATACGTCACACATTGCCGATACAACATCATGCTCCCCACCGCTGCACGGTGCCGCCGGCACCCCCGCAAATACGCGAATTTTTGTAGACATTGAGGCCCACAAAGTTGGGCTTGTACCACAGTATATGGAAGACAGCAGAGTCAGTCCCGAGATCTGTGCGGCTCGCTTATCAGCCGTTGTAAAAGTCTGGGCGGGGCGTGGAATGTTTTAGTAAACAAAGCTTATCAATTAGATCTATGCGTGTTTGTAGTTTCTTATTTCTGTTTAGTCTTTGCCTTGGCGTTAAAATGGAAAGTTGTGATAAAAATGCAAGCGTAAATACATTATATATACATTCATGTAAAAATAATTCAAATAATTATAAAAGATCATTTTTATTTTAATATACTATTATATTAACACACAAATACCACAGTAAAAATCACAAAAAATATTTAAAAAAATAATCAAGTTTTTTTATAGTTTAGTGTTAAATCGTTGAGTTTCTTATACCTGCTGTGCTTGTACATTATTATTTTGTTGTTGTGCGGTTGTGCCTTTATTAATCTAAAAATAATTATTGTAAGATAGGTAAAAATGAGCAGTACCTCCTGGGTAATGTGGAAACCTGCTTAAGGAATACTTAAAAATCCCACCTCGTCCCGCACTTTTTGTATTATTCTAGCTAAATTTTGAAAATTCTTCTCGTGAAAGAACATATTTTTAAATAATATATTTTTATTACTTAGATTCTGAAGTGCTCCAAATACGTGAGACCTTGAAAATTTCAAAAAAAATTGCCTGCGGCGCCATATAGCGGTTCATAAGCCTCACCTTAATGAATGGTCACGAGCCGCCACTGGTAGAAAATGTGTTTATTGTTCTTTGGTTTTTTGTTGTCTCAGGAAGTTCATTGTACCATTTCAGAGCAGATTGTGTTATTCTCCTTTCTCCAAACTTAGTAATATTTGAAGCAATGTGATAATGCTGGTTGGTCCTCATGTTATGTTTATGTTTATCACAGTTTTTAGTTAGGTTTACAGTTGTTTCTATTAGGTTATTTTTAGGTTTATACACCACTTTGACACTATCCAGCATTATTAGCTCAACAATGTTTAACACATTTAGTTCATTGTAAAGATATGTAGAGCTCGTTTGGAACGGTTTGTTAAATAAGAGCTTGAAAAGTCTATTTTGTGTCACTTGCAAACTCTTTAAGTCCTTTTTTTGCGTGCCCCCAAAAAGCTGGAAGATACATTAAGCCACAACAATTGTGCATTAAGTGGGAGTATTATATATTAAATGTTTAGTTTTCTTGTTTATTAAATAAGCATTTCTTCTCAGGTAATAACTTAAGCTTCCAATTTTATTTTTGAGACTTTGAATGTGGTCACTAAAACTAAGATTATCATCAATAATTAATCCTAAATATTTTGCACTTTTCACTTTATCCAAAATTTGTTTGTTTAACGTTAAAGTATAGTTATCACAGTTTTTTTTATTTTTTATGACTAGATAGTTGCACTTGGATTCATTAAGTTTAATATTGTTTTTCTTAGTCCACACATTAATGGCATTTAGATCGCTTTGAGCCCATCCAAACACTTCCTCTTCACTTCCAGAATAGAAAAGTCCGGTATCATCCGCAAATAAAACTGTTTCACCTTTAACATCATATTCAGTTATGTCATTGATGTAAACTAGGAAAAGTAGTGGCCCTAGCACTGACCCTTGTGGAACTCCATAGTGATTTTTTTCCATTTTACTATTTTTGTCAAATGTTAGGTACCTAATTAATTTCTGTCATATGGGTCATTTTCAAAATTCTTGTACATTTAAAGAAGAAAAAGTTAGAACAAAAACAATCTACAAACCTGGTTTTTTCTTCAAATTTTGTTTATTTAAAAATGTTTAATAATTTTGAAAATATATTTTTTTGCTTGTTAATAATCCTTTTAGAGTTTTATTTACACTAGGATGTAAAAAAAGAACATACATTTATTATTTATAAAAAAATGTTGATACAAAACTAACAATGGTGTTAAACTTAATTTTTTATAAAATATTAAAGTTTAGGGACAGCAAATGTACAAGAAATTTGAAAATAACCCATATATGTATAAAGACAGGATTGACATTAAAACCACTTAAAACAAATTAAAAAAATTGTAAACAAAATGACAGTGGTTTTTTTAGGGAATTTTTCAATTCTTTTCCAGGGAATTTCCACTTCATGTTAACGACGGCCAAGTGTAATGTTTTGACTAATAAAAACCGATTCGTAAGAAAAAAGTATTTAAAATACTTCTAAGTATCCAAGATACTTTTCTAGCAAGGAGTTCATTGGCTCGTGAAACTATGAGAAGTAATTTGACTAAAAAAATAAATTATACACAATCATAAAGTTAAAACCTATTTTTAACAAAGTAATGACCCTTGTGTCCCTCTTTTGTTGCAGGCAATTTTAACGTCTGCATTAAACCAACAATCGGCGAACTATTAAGACCCCTGAAAGTTCCAAAAGATCTATTTATTGAAAAGCAGGGTAAACTTAAGGGCATGAACGAATATTCCTCCACCTTATCAAATTGCAAATATAATTTAGCCGATAGAATCTGCGAAACAGCAAACCTCTCGCTAAGCCACGCAGAAAATGACTTATACAGGTAAAATTATAACTTAAACAATTTTTTTTAGATCTGAAGCTTCCACGGCCGAAATTGTTAATGATAACATTATTTTATAGATTCGCCGGTCAAACCCTGACATCTTCTAACTTAACTCTAGTAACAGTCCAAAATGCCGAAAAAATTAAAATAACTGTAAACTGTGAAAACACCATATTTGGATCTGTCCTGCTCAATGAATTACTCAACAGTTTAAATAATTAATTTATTATCTTCGTTTGTTTCGTTTTTTATACATCTGCATGTAAATTTTAATAATTTGTATTTGTTAACATTCCTTATGTACATGTTCTATTCTAAGCTTTAAATATTATGAAAGAATTCTTGATGATGAGTATATTTATTAAATGTGTTATTCCTAGTTTGCGTTTTATTTTTTTTACGAAAGTCTTAAGGCAGTAATAAAGCACAGCATATACAAAAAATAGTTTTTTATTTAAGGCAAAGTCTATACAAGAAGTGTTGACCAAAAATGCAAAACAATATCACATTTATAGAAACCGAATTAATTAATTAGAATATACAAATATTTTATACAATAATTTACTTTAAAATACATAAAATTAATACCTATACACTTAGAGAATATTAAAAAGATCATTCTTGAGCAAAATGTGCTACATATTCCATAACTTTTATTTTAAATTCCTCTTTTGAATGTCTATACATTTCTGCAGCTTCAACATTGAGAGGATCATCGAAATTTAATAAATCCTTAAAAAATTATAACTATTATTAACATTATATAAAAATAATATTTCATTATTCAAAATTAAATTAAAAGATTGTTAAAAATTACAATTGTGTAACCAAGTAACAATACTTACAGTAAAAAGTGCATGAAGACCCCAAACCACATCGTTAAGGCGCCTAATAGGAGACCAACCCATACCATCCACACTGTGACGTCTTAATAAACTCAAACAAACCTCTCCTGCTTCAGTTATGTTTGGGTGCCATAATTTCGTCAGGCATTTAACTACAGGTGGCTAAAATCAAGACACAGAATATGCGGTAGCTATAAAGAAATTATCAACTTTCTATGATACTTACAACCATGTTATATTCATCAGTTACGTTAATTTCAAACTTGAAAATTCCACCTTCCCAATATCCTTCTGTAGGTTTGACTATTAAGGTAAACACACTAAGATCGTTTTCATTGTCGTAGTTAACAGAACAGCACGACGGTAATAACTGAGACATTTCCTGTGCCTCTTTTACTAAAAGTCTATCTCTAATTGAGGCCCTGTTTGAGCTGGTGGGTTCATCGTTTTGCGATTTCCTTTTTAACCTCTGCGACAACGTAATCATTGTTTTTAATTATTTTATACTAACTACACTCACTCAAACGCAATTAATTATCTTTTCTATAACATTGTTTATTTTCATCCTAGCAACGATTTTTAGGTTAACTCAGCTTTCAAACTGCAGGAATTCCTGCTACATCTGGTGGCGACAGCGTTGCCAACCATTAGTAATTATACAATCATTTAAAATCTCTGCATTTAAAGTTATTTCAACGAAGGTACAAAAACAGAATACTTATTAAAAATATATGCATATGCACTACCAAAAGAGTTTTTTGGAGTTTTTGATATGATCACCATGTCGTTTTTTAAGGCAAATAAGACAAAAAAAAAGAAAAACGCCCCAAACAAGAGGCGGGCCTGAAAAAATTAGATATAATCACTTATTTCTTTAAATATGGGCACATGTTTTTTTTAAAGCAATCCGGTTGCCTTTTTAAAACGTTAAAATGTCATTTGAAAAGAGCTGAACTAAATTTAACCTGTTCAACGCAATTAAAAATTTTCACTTTTAGTTCAGCAATACTTGGATAGATGGCGCTGCTAACAATATTTTGTAGGTAGGCAATTCGTTTACAAACATGTGTTATCTGGGTTGCCTACAAAATATTGTAAGGTGCACTGTTTATCCAAGTAGGGCTGAACTAAAGTATTAAAAATTGTTGTGGCAAAATATTTAGTTCAGCAATTCTTTTAGAAAAGGCACTGCACCAAACATCTTGAAAGAAAAGCCAAACATACCCACAGTGTTGCCAACTTAACGGATTTTCCGTCAGATTTAACGGATTTTCGGTAAAGGGTGTGCAAGAAAAACAGTTTTAAAGGGTGACGAATATTTTGATTGAAAAATTAAATACTGTAAATATCAGAATGAGCTCTAAAATAATGTATTATGTATGGTTGGCAATTCTTCGGTTAGTATCTCAAATTTAAATGGTTTGATGATTAACAACACTGCGCACTGCCGGGACTTCCCCGATTATCGTGTTATAGTGCAATATAAACAAAAATTTCGTAAAAAATGGCTTCAAAACAAGCTATTTGAAGACTGAATTATAATTATAAATTATAAAACCTGATAGTTGTAATGAGTCATTTCCTGTTGGCAATACTGCATACACAAATTGCTTAGCTGTCAATTGATATCTAACCTCAAAGGTTATGTTGACGTTGATTTGGGTGTTGAATTCTGTTATCTATACAAATAAGCGAGTAGAAAACGATAAATGACGTGTAATGCTAACCAGCTAACGTTTGCATTTATTTACACTATCTAGATTATCTATAGGTAATGCATTTTATTGTTAAATAACAGCTTGTAAGTGATTGTTAATTTTTAGAAACTTGTTAAGATGAGGGCTTTAATTTTGGTTGGTGGCTACGGCACAAGACTGAGACCTTTAACGCTAAGCAGGCCAAAACCTTTGGTGGAATTCGCAAACAAGCCCATTTTGTTGCATCAAATTGAAGCTTTGGTCGAAGCTGGTGTAACTGAGGTAATATTGGCTGTATCATACAGAGCCGAGCAAATGGAAGAAGAACTAACTGCAGAAGCCACCAAATTAGGTATATCAATAGTATTTTCCCATGAGACTGAACCGTTAGGTACTGCTGGACCAATTGCTCTAGCTAAGAACATTTTGCAGAAAAGTGCCAAGCCTTTCTTTGTACTAAACTCTGATATTATCTGCGATTTTCCATTTAAAGAACTGGCTGCTTTTCACAACAGCCATGGTAAAGAGGGTACCATTGTTGTGACCAAAGTTGAAGAGCCCTCCAAATATGGTGTAGTTGTATACGATGACGGTAACTGCATTGAGAGTTTTGTGGAGAAACCCCAAGAATTTATTTCCAACAAAATTAATGCCGGCTTGTATATTTTGAATCCAAGTATTTTAAATAGAATTGAACTCCGTCCCACTTCTATAGAGAAAGAGGTTTTCCCTGGAATGGCCTCTGATAAGGAATTGTATGCCTTTGAATTACAAGGATTCTGGATGGATGTAGGCCAGCCCAAGGATTTCCTAACTGGCATGTGCTTGTATCTGAAGCATTTAAGATCCCAGAACTCTGAAAAATTGTACAAGGGACCAGGTGTTGTTGGGAATGTCTTAGTTCACCCTTCAGCTAAAATTGGCTCAAACTGCCAAATTGGGCCTAATGTCACTATAGGACCAGGGGTAGTCATTGAAGATGGTGTTTGCATTAAGAGGTGCACAATCCTAAGAGATGCCACTATTAAATCCAACACTTGGATGGAAAGCTGTATTGTGGGTTGGAAATGCAGTGTGGGAAGATGGGTAAGGATGGAAGGAACTACAGTCTTAGGTGAAGATGTTATTGTCAAAGACGAAACATATATTAACGGTGGGCAAGTGTTGCCTCACAAGAACATTGCCAATTCAGTTCCTGAACCACAAATTATAATGTAAATTTTATATCTTGTTTGTGATTGTAATATTGTTTTGTTTAGAGTTATTTTTTATGTATTAGATACATAGTAACCATTCCCAATACTATATTTTATAATGTCTTGTTTTTAATAAAATTATTTAATTTAATACACTATTTTAATACAAAAATGTCTTTAATTTATAGCTCTTATTATAGTTCATTTTTAATTACTTACAGGAACTTTTATGAATCAGATGCATATGGGGCATTCCACGTTACTCGGTAATTTTTGTCCCGCCCGTCACAATTAAAAATGGTGAGTAAGTAGGTAGGTATTAGCTATGATTTAGGTTTGTTAATTATCATCCCATTTTTTTAAAATGATAAAAAATTATATTAATTTAAATTACAAGGTTTCTAAATGGACTTCATTAAAGCATTTTAGATTGCAAGATTCTTTAAGTAATTACAGGTTTCTTGAAATTTGCTACTTAACTTTCTATAGAAAATTACATTTAACCAATCAGAGCATGAATTCCTCACATCAAACCAGGTGCGGTGAAATAATTTTCTATAGAAAGTAACGTTTCAAATTTCAGGAGAATACTAGTTTTAATAAATTTATTTAAATAACATGTCTTTTTTCAAGTTTTATCATATTACTTACAGGAACTATAATCAATGAATATAGTAATAAATTTCTAAGAATTCATTAAAATCAATAACAATTATTCCTGATTAGGTGGAATTCCACTTGGAACACACAACTTTTAAAATATGCGGTTTACATTCACTTGCATACTTGACCTTTATTTTATCAAGTAATAATAAGTGTATGTATTATCGGTGTAACCGAGTTAAATTTTCGATTGATTTAAAGGTGTTTTAAGTTTATCACTCAGTAAATTTATTGTTTTTCCTGTATAGGGTACATAATATAATTTTTTTTGTTGGTGAGCAGGGTTCGAAAAAATCATGATTAAAAAAATATCAAAAATCGATGATTTTTATTAATACAATTAAAAAAATCAACAAAAAATATTTTTTTTATTACGATTTTTCAAAATTATATCCTTTTTTTAATAGTGTACTATTAAAAAAAAAATACTAAAAATAACTTGACTATAATAATATTGGCACTACTTTATAAACAAATAAACCACCGTCCGCAACTGTCATATATTTTTTTGTATATTATTATTTTATTTAACAAAATAAGCAGTTTTTCTATGCACATGAATTTATTTAAATAGTGTCAAGTTTTTTTTTAGATTTTAGAAATTTTTTTTCATCCTACTAATAATATTAAGAGTTCATATGTAGTATAAAAAGTCAAAAAAAAGAAAAGTAGATTTTTTGAATCACCTTAATACTTACCTATTATTTTGTGTGCATTATTAATTTGGAAGGGGTGAAAATAAATAAAAGGATAAGTTGAATTGAAATAAATATTTATTTCTCCCAAAAGGAAACGAAAGTATCCACAAACCAATTTAAAAATTATAAATAATTCAATTATGATTAATAATTTTATTGAAATTAATAAATGTAGATTTAGAATACAAGTGGATAATTAATTGAATAATTTAAACGCCTAGGTATTACAAGTTTTTAAGCAATGTAATAGTTGGGTAAGATACAATAAAATAGGCGTTTGTAAAAAATAAAATAGGATGGAAATTTAAAAACATAGCGAAAAACTACAAACAAGCAAAAAAATTACAAATGAACAAAATTTTTCAACTTTTAATTTTTATTTAAAACTGTTTAGTATCGAGCTACAAATGGTCTTTGTAGCCGAGTTGTTAAACAAATGGTAGTGTTTCGCTTTTTTATGTAACATTTTTTTGTCATAGGACAGTTTTCAATTTTTTTATTTTTATTTAACTGTGTATTATATTAGAAAAAGAACTAAAAAGAAGAAGTACTATATGTATGTATGTCTGAGTGAGAGATATACTAGAAGAAGGAAGTTAATCCTTTTTAATTTGAGCCGCCTGTTTGGCCTGGTGGGCCTGCAACACGGCCACGGCCTCCTCGACCTTGGCCTTAAGCGATTCGTTGTGCTCCAACATGTGCAACAGCTCGGTGTTGTCGATCTCCAACAGCATGCCGGTAATCTTGCCGGCCAAATCGCTGTACATGCGCTGAATGAGCGGGAACAGCCGCTCGCCCAACATCTGCTTCTGCTCTTGCGGCGGCGCCGAGGCCAGCATGCTCGAAGTGAGCGGCTCCTGGCCCTGAATGTGCACCGCCTGCTGCACGGGAGCGGCGCTCGCCATCGACTGCGGCGGATTGCGCATGTTGGCGGTGTACTTGAAGTTGGCCGGGCGGCCGCCTTGCCCCTGTCCTCCGGACGGCACGACCCCTTGCCCCTGACCGGCGAGCGGGCGGCCCTGGATGCCGCCCTGGCCGCCGGGCTGCTGCTGTCCGCCCGTGATGGGCCGAGGCACGTTCATGTTGCCGCGCATGGCCGCCGACTGGTTGTTGGGCGGCCTGGCGGCGGCCCTGTAGCCGCCGCCGCCGCCGCTGGGCATGCCGCCTTGGCCTTGGCCGCCGGCGTACGCTGCGGCGCCGCCCTGGCCGCCGCCGGCGCGCACCTGCGTCTGCGCAGGCCAGCGCGGGCTAGTGCGGATCTGGTTCATTTGCGCGGCGGCGTAGAAGCGCTGCGGCGCAGGGATCGTCGGCACGAAGTAGCCGCTAGAGCCGGGCTGGATGAACTGGCCCATCTGGTGCATGCGCATGTTGGCCATGCGTTGCATGTACTGCGACGTTAAATGCGCTTTTCGGTCCTCTTTCCTTTGAGCCAAAGCGACGTAGAGCGGCTTCGTGCCCACGATGCGCCCGTTCATCTCCGTCACGGCCTTGGTGGCCTCCTCTGGAGAAGAAAAGCAAACAAAACCGAATCCTTTGCTTCTGCCTTCTTCCATCATCACCTTGGCCGAGGTGATTGTTCCGAATGGGGAGAATTCCTTTCTCAAACGTTCGTCGTCGATGGTGTCGTCGAGGTTCTTCACGTACAAGTTGACGCCCTGGTAACGGTTCAACCTCTCCATTTTCAATGCCTCGAAACGACGCTTCAATTCCTGTTGACGTTCTGCTTTCTTCTGAGCGCGGCCAACGTACAAAGGCTTGCCCTCCACCAATTCTTTACCTGCTCAAATACAAAATAAAACACATAAGCACCCAAACGCAACTGTCAAAATATCAATCAAAACAACTCGACAAATCTAGCTAGAGACTTTAAAAACTTGCAGTGTGCGCAAAACTTTAAAGAGAGAACGCATTCGGAAGAAAAGGGATGCATGATACGGCCGATCCCGGCCGCACAGAGTACTGATAAAGGTTTAAATATCAACATTATTAAAGTTATTTCAAAAAAAATTGTAAATGTTCGATTTATTTATATAATTAGAACAGAATTATATATATTTAAGGTAAACAAGAATTTCTTATAAAGTTAAGGTATGTTTAAAATAGGTAACATTAATGCAAATAAAAATTGGTTTTGTGTTAGGGTTAGGTACGCTTTTATTGATATAAGTATTAGCAAATGATGGTTAATTGACAATGATTTTTAAAGTAGTGAATAGCCGCTTTAATTGATAATGGATTTTAAATCAAAATTTATGTGTAAAGTTTTGTCAAGTCAGGGTAGAGAGGTGATAGGTAATGTAATTTTCTTTATGCAGCAAGAAGCTGCACAAAACGGCCCTATCCGTAATTCAAAAAAATCTAAATAGCATAAAAATAATTTCCAAGGACATAAAAGATATTGAAGAAGGCGTTTCCACTTCATTTTTGACACCCAACGAAAAAAGGACAATATCTGCACCAAAATCCATATTGGATGATTTTGCTAGAGATGTACTTCGTCGAATCATAATTAAAGATGACATAAAGAAATGGCTAAGAGATCGAAATATTCCATTTTCAGAAGATATGTTAAAAGCAGAAGTATATTCTTCAGTAAAAGCTCATAAACCAAAGTATAATTGATACTATTATGAGAAATGCGGGATTCACCGTTTTGAGGCTTTCTCCATTTCACCCAGATTTAAATCTTATCGAGTTAGTCTGGGCAGCTTTAAAAAAGTATGTTGCTGAGAGAAATGTAAACTTTAACTTTACACAAGTAGATAAATTGTGTGAGGATTTTTTTTCCACATTTTCCCAGAGAGAATGGCAGAAGCGATATCAGCACGCTATAAAGTTTGAGAATTATTTTATGGAGAAAGTCGGCTATGGATTTAGCCGTGGTTGATTTCATTATTAATTTTCAAGAGGACAGTGTCAGCAAGGTAACCAGCAAAGACAACAGTTCAGACGAATTTGATCCGTTGTAGAAAAAAAAAATTATTTAATAAATAACTTTTTTCTTGATTTACTTTCATTTTAATCCACTGTGCAGAGCGTACATTCGTACGTCTCTAGCTAGATTTGCCAAGCTGTAGTACATTACAGTTTTGTGTTGTTGGCTGAACAGATAAATCGCTTTATAAAAAAATATTGAAACATAAATAACTTCCTACCTTGAGAGGACAATATAAAACTCCCAACACAAAAATACGCTGATCAGTAGCGTTTATGCAAAATCTACAATAGATTAATTGATTCCCGAACGATTTCCACGATGGATGGTTAAAATAATTAAAGAAAATTTGTGCATACAGCCATTCGCCATGGTGCATGGTTGGAATGAACTACAAGATAAAGGTTGCACAATAAAAATGTATACATGAAAAACAAACTGGTACAAAATACCTATTTGATGATTCAGAAAAATTATATGGATGACTGTAAAAGTTGTATGTGGACAATGTGAAATGTATTAAAAAGAAATGAAGAAAGAAAATATATAAAAAAAAACAAATGTGATACAGTGAAAAAAGTGAAAGAAATTAGACATAAAATAATATTAAAATGAAGTATGAACAATAATATAAAATAAATGATTTAAGGGGTGAGTTGTACTAAGATTCTCTTAATTGAGACCCTTGACCATATTAATTTTTTTTAAATGGCCAAATAGCTTTTAATTAGGCTAAAGGTCATTAACCCTGAACACTGTGCTTCTGTGTTCAGATTGAAGAAGAATATCAATTGACAAAATAAATTAAACACAAAATAGACAATTATATGAATACTTACCATTTAGCGCCTCAACAGCAGTTTCTGCGGCTTCAGGGCTCTCGAAGGCAACAAAACCAAAACCTTTGGATTTGCCATCGTCTTTGCTCATGATCTTGTAGCTGGTGATGACACCATATTTCTCGAACATTATTCTCAGCTGTTCTTCAGTTAGATCTTCACCAAAGTTCTTGACATACACGTTGGTGAACAATTTGGCTTTTTCTCCAAGTTCCTTTTCGCGTTCTTTGCGTGGGATAAATCTGCCTACGTATACCTTTTTGGAATTGAGCAACATACCATTTACTTTTTCAATGGATTTGTTAGCTGCCTCTTCGGTTTCAAAGTGGACAAAACCGTAACCTTTGCTGGTGCCATTCTCGTCTTGAGCTACTTTGCAACTGAGAATAGTACCAAAGGCAGAGAATGTATCGTACATAGCTTTGTTATCGATGGAGCGATCGAGGTTCTTGATGAAGACATTGCCTACACCAGATTTTCTCAGCGAAGGATCGCGTTGGGACCACATAATACGGATCGGGCGTCCCTTGATAACATCAAAATTCATTGTATCCAAAGCACGTTCGGCTGTAAGGGAAGAGAAGGTTGGGTTATGTGCCACATGGTTATCAGAGCTGAGCAATATGGCGAAAATAAAAACTCGGGAAATTAACTACAAAATGTGGGGCTTTCTTACCGTCAACAGGTTGCTGGAAATTAACGTATGCATATCCCAAAGAACGACGAGTAATCAAATCTCTGCATACGCGAATGGACAGCACAGGTCCAGCAGTGGAAAATTTCTCAAACAGCATAGCTTCAGTTATATCTGAGTGTAAATCCCCGACGTACAAAGACGCCATGGGGTAATTTGGGGCACTGGGATTCATTCTTCTTTCCTACACTACAAATACACAGATGTATCAAAATGCTACTCGCTGCTGCCTCAACATATGAAACGAAAAAAATAGATTTATCGTTTGTTATTTCTCTTGTTTTCCACTGTTTTTCGATTTTTTTGGGGTTTTTGATTGCTTTTTTAATTTTTTTTGTATTTTTAAATGAGTTATTTCACTTTTTTTTAGGTGGGTTGTGTGTCAATACTGGACACAACCACACGCTCACGCCACTACTGAATAACAAAATGGAGCACCGGAAAAGCCTACATGCCATTTATCCAAGAAGGATGTGACGTACTTTAACTGTTACTTTGAACCGCGCAATTCAAATTACTACCACTTAACCTTCAAATACACCAAAAAAATTTATCCAAAATCAATTCTATTAACTACTAATCTTAAATGATAAAGCTATAATAATAAAACAACAATAAAAATGTATTTACTTACGTTAAACAATATTTTAAACACGTTAACAAAATTTTACATCAACGCCGCCATGTTTACCGTTGACAAAAATCACATTGCCAGGATACACTGAGTTTCGCAAAAAGGAGGTTTCCAAACTAATACGCTACTTTTCATAGAAAATATAAATTTATGTGTATGTATAAATAATTCAATATTAACAAAGCATTTGTACTATAACCTTGGTTAAATTTGTCATATCGCTCAATTTATTTTTTAACTTGTTAAAATCCAATCTGTTTTATAAATTTAATTTCATTTAATCGATACGTAGGTATTTTGTAAGAAAAGCAAAAACTATTTGTTTACCACTCAAGTATTTTAAATTACAATTACGATTACCGTTGAAAAAAGAATGATGATTAAATTTATAAAATAACATTTCTAAGAACCTTTAAAAATTCCAGATACCTATTTTTTAATTTTAAAGTGGTTTAAGTTTGCAATATTAAACAATATGATACTAAACTGATTATAGATATTTATAAATTTAATTAATTGATCGACGGATTAAACAGTTTAATATGTAGATATTATTATTAAACCTGTTCTACCGATTAATTTTTAATTATATTTGGATATTTGTAGGTTCCTATTATAATATGCTTTCTTTTTATTTATTGATCATTTAAACATTTTTTTACAAAACATGTTTGAAAAATTGTTTGGATATTTAAATATCCAAACGTTTTTTCCAAAAACAATCCAAAAACTGTTGTATGAAAAAATTAATAGGGATTACACACCAACGAAATAAACAATTTCGTTTAAATTACAAGATAAACTTGTATTTAAAATGTAAAAGCAAAGCAAAATTCCCAGAGTATGATTCATGGATGAGACACCCATATTTCTATTAAAGGTAGATACCTATATGCACACCCAATAAGTTAAATTGCAGTTTCCTGTAATAATTTTGTAGGGTGTGGTAAGGTGGCGGCACTTATAACGTTAGGTCACTGGTGTTTGTGTATGACGTCAGGGAGTTCCACTACAATAACAATATGGCGGGCTCTGTTTAGATTGTTGCCAATGTCGTTATGAATTTCGTAAGATAATAAAAGTTATCGTATTTTATCTTAATTAAAGTAGCGAGAGTTAAAATGTGTTATTTATAATAGATATGTTAGTGCGTGATGGGATATGGTCTGTGCCGTAAAAGCTTGTAAAATTTGATTTGAACTGTGGGAGGCCTATAATGGCCGGAACAGATATCGATATAAATTCCCTTTTGGCTCAAAAAGAGGCCCAAATTCGGGATCAGCGCGATCAAATAATCCGGTTAAAACGCGAATTAGATGGGGTCGCTAGCGAGAGGGATTTGTTGCTCTGCGAGAACAGCAACTTGCGTTTCGAATTGGAAATGGTGGAACTAAAACGTCTCCAAGATGAAAGGTAAGAAAAAACATCATTTTCCAACCAATGCATCCCTGTCCGACCCTACCCGGGGTCCCGGATTTCCCGGACCATTGACAAATTTAAAAAATCGGCACAGTTGGCCGATGCCAATGCGAAACTAGGTTATGTATTCAATGTTGTATATTTTAATTTCTCTTTTTTCGTTATTTCGATTTTACGTACAAATTGCTTAATAAACAATTGATTTTTGCTGACTATTAATTGCACCCACAACAATACCTTTATCGCAGTCTAAAAGTAATTAATTTTACACCGCTGATAAAAATATTCATTGTTATTAAAATATACGAAATATACTACATATACATTGTTATTCAGTGCTTTTGATATCATGGTGTTTCGAAAAATTTGCCACAAATTATTGTCAGTAACAGGACTTTTTCGACTGATCCGGAACTTTTTTCGACAGTGCTTCCTGTAAGTCGCAATGTTTTTTCTTCCTAGTGACGTAATTTTAGCTTTTGACACCTCCCACGACGCTTTCCTTCGGGAAAACCAAAGCGCATGAACAGGAACACCTCTCACACACACAAACGCACATAAAGGCTCTTTATATAAATACTTCTAAATTGCTAACATTAATTTGCAAAAAATAAATTTCAACTTATTTTTAATGTTTTATAAGATTTATTTTTGTTATCTACAGTGCGGGAGCTTTTCTACCTAAAAATATCAAGTTCCTATAAACATGTTTTAATGGGAGTAATATTTTGCTTATCAACAGCAAAAATGGGACATTTTAAGTTTTAAAAAGAAACCAGATCAAATTTTCCTCAAAATACACTCACAGGCAAAATATTCGATCCACACAAATTTTCGATGAATTTCAATTGCAAATAACTTTTTTATTTGATTTCGGATTTAAACAAATATTAAAGAATATTGTAGATACATTAATGGAGAATCGCTCTCATTTTAAAAATTACTAAAAATTAGACGTACGTTTATAATATACAGGTTTAAACAAAAAGATGTTTTTTACCATAAGTTAAGACACTCTGTAAACCGTATATTGTTCTAAATTAAGTTTTAATTATCAAGTCACATCTATTTTTAGCAGTTTTGTTTTTGGTTTACCTTGATATATTTATTTTTGTGGAAAATATGGATTTAAAAAAAAAACATTGCAATTTCCAATAGTTTTCCTGTATGAAGAACTAAGGTTGCTATGGTCTATCCATAGCCTATGGAGGATGACAGTGACAGTTTTGTTGAATCATCCCATACTTGGACATGTCATATACAGCTTTCAAAAGCTATCAATTTTTTTTTTGTAAATTAATGTGTTAATTTTGAGGTGTCTTCTTACTTTTAAAAATGTCTCCGACTGTTGCCCTTTGTAATTTACTTCTTGTGACATTTAAACTACTTGCCACGTAATACTGTGACCGTCCATCCTGGATTAAATCAATGGCTCTGGCAACATCAGTCGGAAACATATCCATTTTTAAAGTAAGAAGACACCTCAAAATTTAAACATTAATTTGCAAAAAAAAAATTGACATGTCCAAGTATGGGATGATTCAACAAAACTGTCACTGTCATTCTCCATAGCCTATGGATGGGCCATAGCAACCTTAGTTCTTCATACAGAAAAATATTGGAAATTGCAATGTTTTTTTTAAAAATCCATATTTTCCACAAAAATAAATATATCGAGGTGAACCAAAAACAAAACTGTTAAGAATAGATGTGACTTGATAAATAAAACTTAATTTAGAACAATATACGGTTTTGCCACTCTAAAGAGTTTATGGTGAAAAACATATTTTGTTTAAACCTTTATATTATAAACGTACGTCTATTTTTTAGTAATTTTTTAAAATGTGAGCGATTGTACATTAATTTATCTACAATATTCTTTAATATTCGTTTAAATCCGACATCAAATAAAAAAGTTATTTGCGATTGAAATTCATCGAAAATTTGTGTGGATCGATTATTTTGCCTGTGAGTGAGGGTTGGAGTTTCTTAAAAACTGACGTGGTCAAAAAACTTAAAACCTAAAATTTGTAGATCTGTGTTATTAACAAAACACAATCTAAAAAACATAAAAAGGGGTTAAAGTCACCGAACACGGTGGTTATAGTATAAAATTCCTCTTCAAACACTTGTTATTTATTTTTAGTAGGTTTAGTAGTGTTATCTATTTATATAGTTGATAAGAAACAATATTAAACATTCGAGTGCATTTGGAGTTTTAAACTATCACCATCTTATATCTAAATATAAACAAACCATTTGGTCACGTTTAGACACAAACTTAATTTCATTGTAGCGGCTCGGAACAAAGGACCCATTTAAATGTATACACTGCAGTGGTGTTAAAAAATTTCGTGGTATACGGCTGTGAGAAATTTAAAAAACTGGTTCACACAAATTAAAACTAATAAGCAGAAAATAATAAGTAAACGACAATATTAAAAATTACAATTACAACAATAAATTGTTGCTTAGGCGTCTTACCGTTATTATTGCAATAAAGTTACAGGTATGGCATCCCAAACATTAAGAGCACAGTTATTTGGCTTGTTTTAAACGTTGTTTGTGTATCTTAACTATTTACATGCAGTATTTAAAAATATACCGTAAGTCAAAAGTTAACTTAATAACGAGATGCCGTTTAATAACGCCAGTTAGTGGGCGACTGGAATCTTTAGACACAAGGTCGTTACCGTATACACGAGTATACACAAAAAATGAAAATACGGCTTATGAAAATCGTCCGTTCTATTAAGTTCAGAATATATTAAACTCATTGTACGGTACATATTTCAAAAATTCTTAATATTGTAATTTATTTGTCCAGTAGTGTACATTAAATGGTGCCGTAAAAGGGAAACCTTTTTTACAAATTATTCCTTATTGATGACAAAACCACATTTGTGTTGGTTAACCAACACTTTCACTTCAATTTATAAAACATCCAAATAGTTTTATCTTTAAATTTTGTGCACTTTCTTGTAATCAATTTATACATTGCTTTAAAATAAAGACATTTTTATCATAATGGTTAAGTTTAATTTTGCTTTTGTTCTTTAAATGGCCAATACACATACATCACGTTTTCAATTGTTACTTTAACATGACTCATTTATTTACATTGTTTCAAAAACAAAAATGAAAGATACGGTTAATTCAATCAAAAAAAGTATTATCTTAATTTTCCATTTAGAGGCGATAAGTTATTGATACAATCACATGCAAAATAATCGATCCACACAAATTTTCGATGAATTTCAATCGCAAATAACTTTTTTATTTGATTTCGGATTTAAACAAATATTAAAGAATATTCTAGATACAGTAATGGAGAATCGCTCAAATTTTAAAAATTACTAAAAAATACACGTACGTTTATAATATACAGGTTTAAACAAAAAGATTTTTTTTACCATAAGTTTAAGACACTCTGTAAAGTGGCAAAACCGTATATTGTTCTAAATTAAGTTTTAATTATCAAGTCACATCTATTTTTAACAGTTTTGTTTTTGGTTCACCTCGATATATTTATTTTTGTGGAAAATATGAATTTTTTTTTTAAACATTTCAATTTCCAATATTTTTCCTGTATGAAGAACTAAGGTTGCTATGGTCCATCCATAGCCTACGGAGGATGACAGTGACAGTTTTGTTGAATCATCCCATACTTGGACATGTCATATACAGCTTTCAAAAGCTATCAAATTGTTTTTTATAAATTAATGTGTTAATTTTAAGGTGTTTTCTTACTTTTAAAAATGTCTCCGACTGATGTTGCCCTTTGTACTTTACTTCTTGTGACGTTTAAAACACTTGCCACGTAATACTGTGACCGTCCATCCTGGATTAAATTAATTGCTCTGGCAACTAGAGATGCGACCTGAAAAAAAACGGTCCGTTTTTTTTGTTTTTTTCAGGTTTTTTTTCATTGTTTTTTTTTCAAATGTTTTTTTTTACATTTTAGGTTTTTTTCAAGATTAGTCCCATTTGCCTAATTTTTTAGGATTCATGGACTAAAATTAGCCACCAAATGACAATTAGTAAATGTAAATACAATCTCGCGCTATGCACGCGCCACCACCACCGCTTGTTTTGATTTGGTCCTAAAAAAAGTAACTACATAGGTATAATATTTTTGATTCAGCGCTTGATTTTTCAAAAAGCTACCAAAAGCACTTTTTTCATGATTTTTTAAATTCATGTAGAGTATGGAATTTTTTTCAAAAAAACAATAGCAAATTCTTGTAGGTCATTTATTCATTGGTGGTTAAGTCAGAACATTCCGTGGACCTGAAAGCCAAAAAAACGATTTTTTTATTACGGTGTTTGTTAGGATTGAGCGTTGCACATTTTTCATCTAAAAATCTCAAAACTAGAAACTTCAAGCTTCAAATTGCTTTTTTTTACGGCTCCAATACGACCATTTTTAACAAAGATACATATAGGTATATAATGTACATACATATATGTATACATGTGTGTGTACATATTTTCTATTTTCTAAAATGATAGCATAAAATTTTAAAAATATCTATGGCTAAGAAGTGAATGCTTATTGCCAAATCTTATCCAACTAACCAACCAACAAAGATACAGCTAGAGATGCGACTTGAAAAAAAACGGTCCGTTTTTTTTGTTTTTTTTCAGGTTTTTTTTTCATTGTTTTTTTTCAAATGGTTTTTTTTTCACATCTTAGGTTTTTTTTCAAGATTAGTCCCATTTGCCTAATTTTTTATGTTTTCATGGACTAAAATTTGCCACTAAATGACAATTATTAAATGTAAATACAGTCTCGCGTTATGCACTCGCCACAACCACCGATTTGACCAATAAGGGCCGCGCTTGTTTTGATTTGGTCCTAAAAAAAGTAACTACATATAATATTTTTGATTCAGCGCTTGATTTTTCAAAAAGCTACCAAAAGCACTTTTTTATGATTTTTTAAATTTATGTATGGAAATTTTTTTTTTCAAAAAACAATAGCAAATTCTTCA